CACAATAGTGTGTTTACGAGACAATTTAATTTAAAAAGAGACGACGAGAAGAGAAAAACTATGTATGTAGTGTTATTGTTACTTACAATAGACAATATAAAGTGCATAGAGTGCAACGAGCTTTAAGTAACAAATAGCACGGAGTAGCTAATTCAATAAAAGGAAAACACAAATAATTGAAACTCAAGTTGAGGTGCACAAAAAGACTAAGACAATAAAGTAGGAGGGAGATAAATAGTCGCGAACGCGCGCGAGGAAGCAGGCCCAACAACGAGTCGTCGATCTGCTTATTCACAGCACTATTTTAATTTATTCTAAACTAAATCCACACGTGTCCTTTACGCGAAGCTCGGGACTAAAGCGGTGGATGATGCAATCACTGCCGTCGAAAGCTGTGATTAATAACTAAAATAATTATGCATCCATAAATGAAAACGATTATAAAGTTATGATGTTGAGATAAATTTTAAGTCGTAATAACGATGACAAAGGTTTCAGCGGTGAGGTTTGTTTATACGTTCGTATCGAGTTCCAAGAATCAATCGAATGAAAGATAACGAAGTATTGTAGTTTGTAATGTATCCTAAACAAATACAGATATTAAATTATGTTTATAATACATAATCTAAAATTACAAGATTATCAATTCAGAGTTTGTTGTTGTTTGCTGTCTCTGAGTTCTGTTTGGCTCGTGTCCATCAGGTCGACAATAGGTCGCCTAAGGCCGCTATAATATAGGACTCTATTTTTTTATCGTAAACGATTTTTATAAAGTTTTATGTTTCGATTGCTATGTTACAACTACTATAACTATATTAGAGAATCTACTTCGACATAAGGAAAATCTAATTAAAAAACCTATGTTAATAATTAAATAATCATAATGTAATGCAACTTATAATTCGCATAATACCTAGGTACCTACTTACCATGATAATACAACACTCAAAAACATTTTAAAACGCAACAATTCAGTATTGTCCCGATAATATAAAGAGCGGGAATGCAGCAGGCAGAAACTATTGGGTCCGTACAAGTTGGGACATGTTATAATTACAAGCAGGCGAGTGTCCCTATTTACCTGCGATCATGGACGAATAATACTTCATATTAATATGAATAAAGGGTCACACCGCGCGTTGACAAGTAACTACCTGTTTCAGGTGCTATTTGTTCATGAACTATAAAAAATATATTTCAGTTTATTAAAATGTTTTGAAATTAATCATTTTAAAACAATAAAAACTAACCTAATTCAAGATGAATTATGTAGGTAATGATGATGTCGATTGTTTGGAAATTTCATGAAAGTATGGTATATAATAATTAAATAAAAGTTTACCAACATTTTAATGAGCTGGATTTCAATTTTCCTTAAAAATCGGCACGAAGTTTTCGGACAACCCAATATATAAAGTGTAAAGTATAGAGATACAAATAGAATCTACATAACTCTATTGTTACACATATGTAGTCATGTAAATTGTTAGATATTATGCTTATTATGCCACCTCGTAGTGTCGGAGATGACTTGCCAATAACCTTGAAGCTACGCGTACTTATTATTGCTTGAACAAATATCGATGTGGGAGGCAAACATAACGAATATCACATATTCCTAAACAACGTATTCATCTGTAACCTTGAGATCAACTATATTTTAGTGTTTGTATACTGTTGATCGAATGAATCTATAATGGATATTGAAAGTAGGACTTTCTAACATTTTTACTAATACACACACAGAGGTCAAAAATTCAAACATCAGCGTAAGTTTAGATAATTTACCGTGTGTAGTTTAGTTAACCAGTGTTGTTCAGTTACCGACATTCTTAATTTTTCATTATTATTGCCTATTAATTCTGATTGAAGTAATGAAATAAAATTGTCATCTTTCTCAAAGGAGTACTATTAACTACCTAAAATATGACCCATTACTAAATAAAATTAACGATTAAAAACAAAAACTTATACAATCATTACCGAAATACCATTGAGGTATGGTGATGTGTCAAAAACCTATAAAATAACAACAAAAAAACTGCATCCTCCTCTTTCAAGTTGTTCAATAAAAGCACGGCATGGAGGCATATAAATTGTTAGCGATCGGGCGAAAATACCCTAATCCGGTTTTTGCTTTCAATCTCGAGATGTGGTCCTTTTTTTTCTCTCGGCTAGGGAATACGCGGTGACTCATGCCTTCGCCCGGTCGTCGTGCCTAGCACGGCTTGTTACGAACATAGCCGATCGCCCCGAACTATATACGAACAAACATAAATATTTCGATAGCGCGCGCGCGCAGGTTAAGGAGAGGGGAGGGATCATTGGTCCACAATATAATATTATGACGCAATAATTATATACTGTTGCAGGTGGAAAATTAAATTAGTAAAAATTAAATAGCACCATAATAAAAATAGATTTTTTTAAAAGGATGTTATCTATATTATTTTAATAAACTGGTCACACACAAAATTTACATAATATGCAAAAAAATAAACAAAACAATAAGATAAATGCAACAAAACTTCATGAGGCTATATAAATGTGTAAAATTATCAAAGCAATCAACCCCAATGAGGCTCTAATTTTTGGAAAATCAACGCATGAATGGTGTAATCAACAATATAATTTAGTTTCCACTGTTGATACACTTGTATAATAACATATTGCCATCCATTTCATTCATTTTGAAAAACAAATATGAAGATATCCCATCCCACACAGGGTATTCCAGTGTTGTTTACATTTTTCCATTTGTAATCCAGTGCTGAATTTCACAGCTGGACTTGAACAATGTAAACCAGGTGTTATGATTGAAAGCAAGTGATTGCTTTAAAGCAATCACATTTATCTCTACTAATCTCCTACAAATAAGCATATGTATTTGAATTTAATTTGAAGATATTAAAAGAAAATGTGTCACTATTATAACCACCTTAGTTCTTTTTTTAAACTGGTAGTAAGATAAAAAAGGGTTCTATCATATTAGTGTTAAGGACTAGATTTTAAAGAAAGATATGAAAAAAATATTGATGCATTGCAATTATTTATGTGCTGACTTTGGAATATACAAATCATGAAACCTTTATTCTTGATTGATTGAAATATAATAATGAAGGTACTTACACAACACCTTGTCAACCAAAAGTATGATTATAACTCTCATATATTTTTTTCATAAAATTTGATTACTATAGTAGTGGTATTGATTACTTAATTAGCTTTTTCCACAAAATAAGCAATTACAACTGTTATTTGGACAGCAAGTTTCTATATTTACTTTGCATAGAACATTAGGCATATTGGATAATAAATTCTCCAATAATTTGAAGTAATGCAACACAGGAGTACAGTAGTTGAAATTAAAAATACATTTGTAAAATTAAAAAAAATATGGATGCGAAATGGTGGGAAGCTGTAAACAGTGATTGTGTATGTTGTAAATTAAAACAACATAGGTCTTTAAATAATTAGATTAAATCTATATACATTAAATATAAACATAAATATACTGAAACTTATTTTTAGAGACAGAAAAAGTAACTATATTAAAAAAAACGAAATATATAATTTAAACCTGGGCTTACTACTTGAGATTAATATAGCTGTAAGTTTTCTATGTTGTAAATAAATAGATAAAAAAATTAGTAACTTAAAATCTTTAACAATGACCTAACACTGTGCCAATAGGGTTTCTTATGTGTTATATTTTTATTCAAAGATTTTGGTCTCAGAAACCAATGGTTAGCCTTACAGGAATAAAATAAATACACTTCTTTGACAAGAACCTAAGTTTTATTAGTTTGAATTTATAATAGGAATGGAGAAAATACTCCATATTATATATTTTGTATCATTTCCAATGTAATCATAAATGTTATAAACAGTAAAGTGTAAAGCTCTTGCTCGATCTGAATATTTACGAGTTAAAGAAGACCGCATGTAATTGCACTTTAAATAAAAAAATAATTAAAAAAATGTCAAACATTTCAGGAAAAATCACGTTCATACATGTTAATACAAGATTGTAGTAGAAGTTAAACTAAAATCATTACAAAAAAATTTACTTTCATATGTTTAAAGTAAAATTGTTAAGTACTAGATTCTAAACTTATTATAAAAGTACTTACTGTGTCATTTTTAATTATTTTCCAGCGAAACAAACGAACAACTATGGGACAAACACCAACCAAAACACAACACAGTCACTTAAAAGTATTAAAATGTGATTATAAAATAATTAAACAGTGCAATTCAATGCGAGGATGTAATATAACGAATCACGATTGAAAAAAACTTCTCACACGACCACCTCCAATACAAATCTCTTAACAAATGACAATTGGTTACTGTCAGCAACAACTTTATTTTCCAAAATAAAAAAAGAAAACAACCTGCTTTCCGATATTTACGGACAAGTCAAAACATGTTGAAGTTCTTGTCCTCCTTGTTTAATAGTATATGGTAAAGTGAGATAGAATGAAAACAAATATGCTGATATTGCGTTTGCGACATGAACTTAGTGCAGTTTGTGTTTTTACATCTAAAGTCACAGTAAACCTGTTACGTAATTAATAAATCTTAACTATAATACTTTTAATACTGATTCCTAAACATATAAATTGTAGTAGGATTTTGATTTAATTTATTTATAAATAAGTTATAGGTATTTTTAATTAAAAATAAGTATAATTATAAAGTACTTTAAAGTTAAAGTAGTGGTATAGAGATATAACAAAATATCATATTATATTTAACTTATTTGGTAAAGAACAGCGAATATTTCTCGGAGCAGTGTGCAATTCAAGCGTAATTCTAATTATATACTCTTTGCGTAATTCTCTCAAATTCTTTTTGCTGACTCTACCTTAAATCTTTATGTTTTTCAACTTATTTGCTCTTTGATTTACTTGATCTTTAAAGACATCCAACCAATCATCAAACAGTTTCTTAGATAGCCAAGCACCAATCGACGCTTCCATGTCAATTGTCAATGTCATCCAAACGTCATCCCTCATGTGATGTCACCAAAGTCAGGACAGGATAAAAATCAATAATAATTTAACTTACCAATACCCGACTCATTGCTTGCCCCGATAGTGACCTACTATTAATAATCACAGAAAACAATGGTGTTTTAACAAATTCTTCATAGGTTTTTGTTTGTTTGAGTGCATATAGTGTTTTAAGTAGTTTTGAGTTCATTTTGTTAATAATTTTTGCCTCAGTATTTGTCGGCGACTTGTTGCGTCGTAGTTGTATTTTTATATAAAATTATCACATAATATCATTACATTTAATTCATATTGCTTTTAAACTAAAATCATATCCGTACATTATAAACACTACGCAGGTTTATTGTACGTAGTTCGCTAATGGACCCAGTTGACGCCAATAGTACAACGAACTTAACAGACATGCCACCAGTAGAAAGAACATCAGAAACTTCGAATCTAGTAGCACCGAATTCAGCATCGTCACCAAGCTTCTTAAATCTAGTTAGCAACTTCTGTGCTCTGCTGTTCAATGCTATCATACTTTATTGCTGTTTTAAAGATGGTGTTACTTTATTCTCATTTCACCCTACCCTGATGTCTTTAGGGGTAAGTACAAATAATGTGTATCATTTGTTTGATCTTACACTATTTAAATAATGCATTATTTAACTTTTTGCACTGACATCAGCCTGTACATGTAACAATAGTTTTAAAAGGAACCATTTACTTCCATTGTAACAATATTGTTAATCCAAGGTAGAAATAAAAAAGTCATAGGTGAACATTGTGAATTCAAAATGCAATTAATTGCTTGTTACAACATATAGTGCTAGGAAATCATAAAGATTAAATTTAATTAAAAAATATTATTAAATTATAACTAACATTTTTTATTCCAGTGGATCATACTAATGTCATCTGCAATAAATGCAATAACTCCGGGAGATTTTGCAACTGAATGGATGCCGATTCGTCTCCGTAGTGCACGTCACTGGCTTATACAAATGTTAGCTCTCATTATTATACTTACTGGGTTTTTTGTAATATTTGCAAACAAAATTATCAATGAGAAATCACACTTTGTCACCTTACATGCAAAGTTCGGTATAGCCTCTTTAGTTTTTATGTGTATAACATCTTTGGGAGGTGTTACTGCTCTTTACAGTTTGAAGCTAAAGGACTACATTGCACCAATTTACACAAAACTATTACATGCAAGTGCCGGCCTGTTGACCTTTACTTTGGGAATAATCACTATCTTACTTGGTACTTTATCACGCTGGTGGTCCTTTGGTGAAATATTAAGATATACAAGTATGATTTTGGTACTTTTGGTCATGTTATTCACACTACTTCGACCCAGTCTCAAAGTGTATTTCCGTCTGAAGGAGAGACTTGAAAATATGAATTAATATAAAATGTATTTCCATGATAAAAAATAACGACTTTGGCAAGGCAAACTGGTATATCTGATTATATTTTAAGAATATAATATGATTATTATAATGATGTAAAAGTTTATTATAAATTGTTTACATTTATTGTATGTTAGTATATTTCCTATTAGAATAGGTGCTATGTTGATAATAAAAAGCTTTACATGTGTACTATGCATATAGTGATTATTGCTTATATAGTAGTTTAGTGAAGATTAATATTTTTCTTGAATATTTTCCATACTATAATCTAAGTGGCCCAATCTTAATAAAAATCATAGTTATCAGTGAAGAATTACTTTTTATATATAACTGTGTTTACAAATTATAGTACAATATAATGTGATTTAATTTAAATAATCTATTTTTAGTATGTATTTACAATGGTTTTTTTTGAGAAATTTTATGATACAAGTATTCCTTTTAAGTAATCTTATTTATAATTTACAATACAGGTTTTATTGTGTATTAGATTATAAGTGTATTTTGTTTAAAAACATATGTTTCATTTGTATTGAAACATTGTTTGTCTTAATGATTATTTCATGTTAATGATCTGGTTGCAAAGCAATTGATGAATTTAAGACTTGTTATTTTTATTTTGTTATAAAATTGTATAGAATAATACAAGAAAATAGCGCAAAACTAAATATGTGCAATGTATACTTATTTAATGCCAAATTAATGCAAATAAATATATAATTTTAAATAGCGCGAAATGAAATAGCTATTATAAATACCTATTTTATATTTCGGAATTATATAACGTGTAGCGAGTTTCGAAAAGAATATTCATGCCTTTTCTACGTAATTTGAAATAGTGATTTGTGCCAAAAAGTAGATCATTGTAGTTGTAGGTATTTAGAAGTACCTACATAAGTTTAGATATGTTCCTTCAAAATTGTATTTACCAAATGTTTAATAGAAAGCATGTATCGTAGTAGAGAACAAGTTATTATATGAATATATGGTGTATTGAATCTGACCAGTTGTCTTTTAAATTCTATTCCCTAATTCGACTACACAAATTTGAAATCAATTGGCTAGGCTTTTAAAATGATATGAACATTAGGTAGGGAAAGTTCCTTCTAGACATCCCATTAGCTGGTAAATCATGAAGTTATTATTTCTTAACTCATATGATTTACCTAAACAAGTTTAACGCCATAAAACAAGACAAACCCACATATCAAGCTGTTTAGTTTGGATTACTTTTTAAACGAAAAGATCTTGACCTAAAAAAATATTGAGGGCCTATAATAGTAACTTAAAAAAAATCTCTGGATTCACTGTGTTAACTTTATAACACATGGCAATAAAAAATCTGTTTTTAGTAAATTTTGGTAATTTTAGAAAAACAGGTACATGGTAACACTGTATCCGTGGTTGTACAAAAATAAAAAATTAAAAACCTGTGAAGTGAGCTGAGTATTGTTTTTGATTTGATTGGAACTATAATAGTCGATCTTTCTCGATTTAATACAGATTTAAATTCAAAGGTTTCAAAATACGCAGCAGCAACTTATAGATTAAGGTAAATAATTCGTTTCTGCCTATTTATATGTTTTACCTTATAACCTGGATGAGGTTTAAGGTACCCGTACCCTGAGCTCCTATTTATATTTTATGAAAATGGCGTCCTATAAATTTAATATTAATTTTCTTTTTAGATGCCTGTAATTAAACTTCAATCATCCGATAACGAAATTTTTGACGTGGATGTTGAGATCGCAAAATGTTCTGTAACAATAAAGACGATGTTGGAAGATTTGGGCATGGATGATGACGAAGAGGAAGTCGTGCCTCTACCAAACGTCAATTCTGCGATTCTCAAAAAGGTTATTCAGTGGGCAACCTATCACAAAGATGACCCTCCATTGCCAGAGGACGATGAGAACAAAGAAAAACGCACCGATGATATTTCATCCTGGGATGCGGACTTTTTAAAAGTTGACCAAGGCACATTGTTTGAATTAATATTGGCCGCTAATTACCTTGACATTAAGGGCTTGTTGGATGTGACATGTAAAACTGTAGCAAATATGATCAAGGGTAAGACACCTGAAGAGATTCGTAAAACCTTTAATATTAAGAATGATTTCACAGCTGCTGAGGAAGAGCAGGTCCGCAAGGAGAATGAATGGTGTGAGGAAAAATAAACCTGATGGTTGTTAATTTATTTAAAGTATATAAGTCCCAGGTTAGTCTTTTGGATTAATCTAAAACTTAGTATTATTTATGTTAAAAATAAATACTGAAAATTCCATGTAATAGTGATGATTGTTGTTATATTACAAGGCATATTAGACTAATATACAATGTATAAAAGACATTGTGTTATAAATATTTCATTCAGTTTTAAATTACTAAGTGTATGAAAGTCTAAATTATCCATAATTATCTTTGTGCAACAAATATAGCTTATCTTTTTATTTAAGTATATGTATTCGTCACACTGCTTTGTAACAATACCAATGTAAGAAAATAATTAAACATGTCTTTCAATGAAGTCTCTTAAATTTTTACTTGTTTATAATTTATTTTCTACTGCTAGTTTTTAAAACTTTTATAACACTAGTGCCTGGTTGATAAAATTACAGTAAAATAACCAAATTGTGTTGAACTAGACTGCTATGACCATTGATAGTGTTTAAATGATGAGGCCAATAAAAGCTGTTGAATCATCCACTCTGCGACAGTGAGTTCCAAAAAGCAGTTGAAATTACTTTATAAACCTACACAAAATTTAGTACAGAATACATTTGTATTCAAAATCGAAAAGCGATAAAAAACTTTGATAGATTTTTCATTCTCTAGGCTTTTACTTCCAATTTGCAGTCCACATAAAACCTGACACTGATATTTCTGTCTACATTATTCCAGTTGTGTGGGAATAGCTGAACTCGAATCAAACTAGACAGCCATTTCAATTTCAGGAACTGGAATGCTTAATGGCACTAGTTAATGTCTACATTATGCTAGTTGAATTCCAGTTCTAATTTTGTATGCTACTGGGTTACTGTAATTTGAAGCAGGCAAAGTTCTTATCACATTGCAATGGAACACAGTATTTAATACATTGCGAACTGCTGCATCCTCTGATGCCGTGCTGGACCTAGAATTATGTTATAATCTGAACCTCCAAGATCTTTGAAACCTATAATACTGGTTCACATATGCACTCTCAGCATTAGATTTATGTCTAGTAATGAACAACAATATAACATATATTTTTAACTTATGATGTTTGTAAATACGAGTAATCTTTATTTGTAGAGATCTCACATGAAAAATTGCTTGTCTATTAAATTTCGATTTATTTTACAGTAAAGCCTACATTACATTATTCCAGTCCCGCTTTCAAATCCATTGTTGGATAGTGTAAATAAGAGTTTGTTAAGTGGTCACTAAGGGATGTCATTTATTATAAAGTTTTACTTATGATATTTGCTGTAAAGTTGGTTCTTCTCTATACTAATTACAGGTTAATTAGCACCTACAAGAAAGTTTAAAGCAATGATTTTCGTAGGTACAGTCAGCTGCTTAATTATGTTTACTTTAAAAAAGTTTTAAATCTAAGCTAATTATGCCTAAATTCTTGTTTATGCATTTGGTTTCAATTACATGTATGCACATATCTATAAGTATGGTTCTGACCATAAATACATGCAAGTGCTTTTTTATAATCCGAAGGCCTATAAAGGTTAGTAAAGGTATACTTTTTATACAGCTGACTGTACATTTACAAGACTGATTTTTAGCTGAAAATCAAACATTAATCTTACCAATATTTTATTCCCAAATATAAATAATAACTAATGAACAAAATAAAAAAATATGTCATTCAATACAACAGGTAACTCTTAAAAAACAAACTTATTCTGTTTGTATGTCTTAATTAAAAATTGTATGGATTATGTTATAGCGCGAAAACTTTTATCAGTAGTGTAAGCATCAAAAGTGAGTAAATTATCTATGCACGTCAATAAATGGCTATTAAATTTGCCATGCTGAGACTTACAAGAAGCTGCCCCTATGATTAGACCAAAGAGGAATGCTGACACAAGTAAAATCATTATTATATATTCCCATTTGTTCAAGTTCATTAAAGTTTCTTTGCATAAGCAAACAACATCGTAGGGAGATCTGAAACGACAGAGATATTAATATTCCTCTTGGTAAATCAAATCAAGAGTTGTAGGACAACAGAGTGCTGGTTGACTAACCATGTTATTGGTAAGAATCAGATGAAACTAATCAGAAAAAATATAGCGTTACTATACACATAATATTCTGTGAGGTCGTGGTCTCCGATCGATAAGACGACAGTTAAAAAAATATCTTAACTACTTTGCATTTAGGCAATGTAACTTACTTATAATTCAACCGCGCGTTATCGCAAAGAAATCTATCTGTTTCGTCTAAAAGCTTTTGAAGTTGTTGCTGGGCCAAGGCGATGACTGGACATTTTTTATGAAGAATATTGGCTATTTCAGCTTCAGGGTCTAGGTCGCAACTGCAGCCGGCAGTGGCGAGCCTTATTTCATCAAATCTTATGTCGTTTCTAGGCGATGAATCGGCCGCGTCAGAATCTGCGTCTTCCCTTGGGCTCGGTGCGTAGTTATCTATAGGGTTCTGATGATTTCTGAAAGATTTTCTAGAATAACGGTAAATATTTTGAATTTGAAATTCATCGGATGCCATTATTCAAAGTAAATATTAAGGTAGTATGAAAGTCAATTATAATAATTGCTCGAAATGAATGACAAGAATTGTCTTCGCTCTTAGCTTGGCACAGAATATTAAGATCTGCTTTAAAAAGATGATTTTCCGCAATTTTGTACATTTTTAATATACGCTTTTGATTCGGATATCCCAGTGTTAAATTGAAAATTTAAGACATTTAAATAACTTACAATAAAAATATTGAAAAGAAGTTTTTATCAAGAAGATTGCATTTCGCAATAGCTGGAATTTATAACATTGAAATGGTATAGTACGTATTCGTAAAATAACCCATATGCATCACGATTGAGACAAAAACTACAGCGTTTATTTCGTGCTCTCAATTCACATCCCTCTTTTTCGTACTTATGCTGTACAACTGACTTTAAATTTTGTGGCATTTTACTTTTCTGATCCAACAGGAAGTTCCTCACATTGACTTTTATTTGTAAAGTATGAAATATAACATTAATTGATAGATAGATAAGCGATGATATAGTACTTAGGATAACGGCCCCCTGTAGGCAAAATACATGACACTATTTAAATCGAAATAATTACATATCTATATGATATAAAAAAATATCGAATAATCTCGTGGTATTTAGATAATCTCAACATTATAAACGCAGTGCATAATTTCATCATAATTTTTGTTTACTATTATACGGCATTACTGAGATTTAACACAATGTTCTTCCTTAAATCATGTAAATGTGATCATTATTTCTATATGATCCTTTGTTTATTTTAATTGTAATACATATTAAACTGGGCAGAATAAAATGAATACTAAAAATAGCAGCAATGCGCAATAAATGTCGCAAGAAAAGATAATCCAGATAACCTCATTATAGTCAAGACCTTCCTTTTCGATTGGACAAAAGAAAAATAAAACACGAGTAATAATAATAGTATATTTTAACATGTCATAAAAATTTTACAACAAAAAATATAACATTTTTTTTGATTTAAAATACATTATTATTCTCTTAAGTAATTATCAACATTACCGCGAGTTGACCGATACGTAAGGCTTTTCATTATCTTTGAAAAAAAGAGAGACAACAGTATACTGTTGTACTATTTGGCAGAAATTACGATTAAAAAATTATAACTATTCCCAAATGCTGTACAGAGTATTTATAAGTATCGCATAAAAGCTAATAATTAATCCCCAAATGATTGGTGCATAAATTTCTTGGAATATTCGTACACCACAAACAACGCAGCTGTCGCCGGTACTGTCCTTATTAGCGTAGGTTTTAATCCATTGTAAAGTGCTAGAAAACCTAAAAACATAACATTTAAATAAATTCACGTATAGATTATTTTGTACACATCAAATTGCTTATTGCAATCAAGATTTTTAAAATTTGTATCACAACTTTAAGTGTGACATCTTCGTAACAATATTTGAAATTATTATTACTAGACAAATCTCGTTGAATTAGGTGTTTTTATTAGAATAAAACTCAGGTTATCAAAGGATATTTTGATTTATCTTAACCAGGCTACTATTACGATCGATCTTATTCAAGGTAGTTACAAGTATCTCGATTTCTATGAGGAAATTGCATGAGAAACCGGTTAGTGCATAATTAACTTTTCCAGACAGACTATAACCAGACTTACTAACAGTTAAACATGTTATGAACATACTTTGCGTTTCTGAGGCCAATTAAAACATAATGATATTATTATCTCTATATTGTCAAAGATAATGACAGGGTTGACAATATTTTTTTATACAGAGAATTTGGTCTCAGGAACCATCGGTTAAAAGGTTATCAGTATAACGTAAGCATGAGTTGTCTACGTTATTCCGATAAACATTCGATTCAAAACATATGTCAAATAGCTATTGAACTAGACTATCAAAGGAAATAGAGTTCTTTACTGTTGTATGTTTATAATCAAAATGGTTTTTCCGAAGTAACTCGCACTATTTATTATTGGCGACTTGAAGGCCATCATAAACTAAATACATTCGAATATTTTACTTCGGATGATACCTGAGTGTAAACATATTAGTATATTGTTATAGTTTTATTAATTAATTTAAATATATCTTACCTTCTTTCTTTACAATCTCATAGCCGACTGTTAGGAACTTTAATTTTTTGTTTGATATTTGAACACGCGACTTGATGACATCGGAGGGAAAGATAACAGTCCAGAGAACACAGCCGCCTACTGCTCCGGCGATCATGGTTTTTACAAAACCTATGTCATCCTTCGATTGTCCCGGCTTTGCTAACAATTCTCTTGTACCTTAAAATAAAAAGTTTTTTACATGCTTAAAAGCTTTAAAATTAAAAAAAACATTGTTGTCTTTGCTATTTTAATGTGTAAAGGGGAAACGAGCAATCGGATCAAAAAATGAATGGAATTGTAGATAATAAGACAGAGATACAATTAGTTGCGAATCTACTCATCGCGCATCATCCGAAACATTATAAATATTCATAGTCGGATATATCGGTTGAACTAAGTAGTTAACAAAATCTTTCGAACCTTCATATCCTCCGAAAAAGAAGAAATACCCGGGCATCTCTCTCATAATGGTCGGTACCAGACCTCTGAACAGACCTTGTATACCATATTGCTTGAATATTTGTTGAGACAGCTGTAGTGGCGTTATCTAAAATTAATACAACTATTAACTGTAATCTGCCCTTGATATCGCGTACATTTATCTCAAGGCAGTGATAGTGCAGATACATTCGTAGTTTAATAAAATTAACGTTAGCTACTCGAGTTATATAAAAAAGGTTATTGTCGGCATAAAACTATTACTAAGCAAATATTTAATATTATTAATAGATTATTTTACAAAGACGTTCACTTGAAATAGAAAAATATATCAATAAAAAAATTAAAGAAATTGCAGTACATTCAGAGCCCATAAAATTAAAACTTTAATCTAATCTAAAATTAAAAAATCTAGCGCTTGCGATAACTAAATTGTCGCAAGAAAAACAAGAAAGTTATTTTATAATAGAAAAAATTGAGCTTTTAAGAATTCAGAATAATGACATGTTTAATAAAATACCCAAAATTCATCATACAGCTGTTTGGGAGCCTTGCATGTTGACCTCTCTCATAGCTTGAAGTTGGCACTTGATCAGTTCAGTCGGACACAGAGGGAATGATGAGAAGAAAGCAGCCAGAAAACCCGCTGTTGCGTTACCCACCATGGAGAGCTGGTCCGTGCTCTAAAATATTGTAATTAATGTAGAGAAATAACATTGTTTTTACTAAACATTGATAAGAATATTCCAAAAATGGCGGGAAATATGTGGAATATAAAATCTATACATATTTTGCTTTACAAATGAACCAATTTAAAACTTCATAACCCCTCTCCAGTATCGACTGTCTTCTTTTTATGTCTATACTAAAATCTACTTAAAGTAAACTGTGAATTACCCATTGTTAATTGTTTAACAATTAACAACTTTTGACCTGCAAATTACAATTCAAACTAACATATTACTATTACAAATACTAATTATTCAAAATAAAAGGGTCACTGACTTTTACAATTAGTGCCATTCTACTGTTCACACCCAAATCGGACGAGACAGAGAGTTAAAAAATATAAAGATGAAACGCGAATCATGCCCCTAATTAGTCCTGAATGCCAATAGGCTGGATAACTAATAAGTTATCTCCACGGATTGCAGTTTTCTATTACAGACTAGCGATCGCCCGACTTTGTCAGCACAAAATTAAAAGAAAGTAGCCTATAATATGCCCGCGTGCATCAGTACCTTCCTTCCCTACTACCTTCCCGTCAAAGCCGCTTCAGCATCGTTTCAGCTGTTCCAGAGATTACTCGGAACAAACCCCTTGCAGACAGACACACAGAACTTTAACTTTAAGAATTGGTTTTTCGTTATCAGCAACGCAAATCAACACATGTACAAAATATGAACATATTCTACCGTAAGACACTCCAATTTAATATTGTCCTGCCAATCTATTCACTTAGAAAATAAACAAACATATAGAGGACCTAAAATTAATAATAATGAAGACATTATATTCTATTTAAGCCTACAATACCCAGCATGACTCCAATGCTGCTTTAATTTGTTATCATGTAACTTAAGTCGATTGAGAGAGATTAAGATCGTAGATTTAAAAACAACAGACATGTATAAGATCGTAATTGTATAACATCATTAAATATTTCACTAATTCGCCCAATTTCGCCTCATTCATAAAAAAAATCAAAACAAAATGTTTACCTCGGTACCTGTTACATGACAAACAAACTTTTGACAATAGCCATATGCTGCAAAAAGTACAGAGTTCTCTGCAACATTGGCCATAATTGCCGGTGTGGTCCCTGCATATAGCCCTCTGATTATGCCATCATTTTTGAGTGTCTGTTTTAAACAATCATACATGCCTTTATATAGGTGAGGGAACGTTTGCATCTTTACTTTCACTGTATCCAATGGTTGCCCAACGTAAACCACTGCCACACCACCTGGTGCAACAATAATTGGTAATTATGTTTTTACAATTATTGTAGAGAAATTGTGTAATTGAAGGGAAGGGAGAGAGAGAAAGGGAAAATATCCTCTTTCTGTGCTTCCCACAGTCCATTAATCAATGATAAGCAATGGATCTGCAATTTAGGATGGCTGTACATAGTGGTCACTTCGCTATATCTAATGAAAAAAATGTTCACTATATTATTGTCGCTCTATTTTATCATTTAGCAAATGTGGGTTTCATAGCATAATGTGTATAGTAGAACTTGTATAAGCGAGAGGCCAAAGGATCGCAATATATTTCTCGCTTATCGAGTTTCTTGCTTATGGAGGTTGTCTATCAATGACTTGTTTTTTTGTTTGATTGTTATAAATTTGACAAGTGAAACACTATACAGACTATAAGTCTTTGACTAAGTCAAGGGATTAGATAAAATCCATACCAAGTGATCCAGCTACAAAATCTATTGCTCCGCTTTTAAAGCCTTTACTTTCCGAGGAGTGTGCCATCTTAGTTTTTCTTGATAAACCTGAAAGGAAGAAATTAAAAAAATACAAAACCATTTCTTTTTTTATTGCTTAACTAATAAATTATTATCGAAAATAGTGTGAGGAGTTTACGTAGCTACAATTTCGGAAATGTTTGTCGCTTCGTTTATAAAAAAAATTAAAATTGTGTTAATCAAATTCCAGTGATATCTTCTAAGTTCTACAACACGCGTTTATATTTTTAACGAAAATATAAGAAAAAAAACCTCTACTACTACACACTACACTACACACGATGTTTTGTACCGTATTTTGATATCAGAGTTAACAAAATAAACAAGAAAAAACTTACGAAATGAACATAACACAACCAACAACAGAGATGTCACAATTTGAATTGTTGAATTTTGTGAATTGTGAAATTCAAAGAGTATATAAAATTGGTGAAATTGGTATATTTGACATTTATTGGACAAAGATTAAATTGGAGACAAGCCATTTCTTTGAATAAATAAAAATAAAAACTACTAAATAAAATAACTTGCACTGCAAAACACATTGTCCAATTTTGACATAACTATTTAAATAGCTTGATTGTATTGCATAATGCACAGAGCCAGGTTTTGTCATATTTTATAAGTTTTTTGGTTTGTCATTGTTGAAAATGATTTATGTCTATACACTCTTTGATAGTAACTGACACTGAGAGGAAAAGACAATGTTTAGTTTTACGAAGAGCGCTTTCGATTATTTTCAATGAAACGATTTGCATAACTTAAAAAATATTTAATAATGTATAATTTTTATTTATCGTAAATGTTTTACAGTAAGCTAGTGAATAGTTACATAAAATTTTCTAATAGTTTTATTACATTTTACTATTTTTAATAAAATCAAGTAACGGTATTTAATAGTCTTTGAAAACATTAACATATGAATGAAGTGTACGAAAACATGGTTGTTTTTCAGCTTTTCTTTATGATTTTCAAATATAGTTAATGCTGTTTCTTATTAATCTGAGTTATATGTATAGAAATATAAAATGCAAATTTAAAACTGAGTTTTTGTTTTGATAAATTTGTTTAATAACCTATCTGTTAGCGTCCGAATGCTTTCGATATAGCAGAGTTGTTATTAGAAATAAATATGACTTTGAAGTTGTTTTAACGCAATAAGTAAGTTTTTAAGATATTTGAATGTCTGTTCTTTGAGGAAATCTACATATTTTAGTGATCAGTGTATTTAATTACGTGAAAAACAATGTGAAAATTTGACGTGTCGATTTTTTAAGATTAGTGTTCGGCCGCCATATTTGTCCTTTTAAATTATACTCTTTTATAGAATTACAATTTTCTGTATTTACAACTCTTGTTTATGAGGCAAGGACTCGATCGCATCTATTGTATATTAAATAATATCAATGTAGAATTCCAAAAACAACGCTATAAATGTGTAAATGTTATGTTGTTTTTACGAAGTCTTTCGCGTCTTTGTTTAGGTAATCAGGATGGTTGTTGGGTCGGCATCGTACCCAGGGAGGCAAGTGCTTCACAAAATGCAGCCGATGGGTATGACTCCGCGCGAGCTTTCGGACTACGACGACTTAGCAACAGCTCTAATAGTTGATCCATATCTCGGCATTACAACACATAAGATGAACATACGTTACAGACCATTAAAAACCAATAAAGAGGAATTAAAAAGCATTATAAAAGAATTTATACAAACACAGGATTACAATAAAGCATATAACAAATTGGCTAATGGAGAATGGATGCCAAGACATTTCACAAAAAACAAGCATCAACAAAACAAGTTTAGAGAACATGTTAGTAAATAAAACATTATTGTTGTTACAAATTTTTTGTTAACTGTTAATTTCAATGTTATGTTTATTTTCAGATTTATCGCTATCTGAGGGTTTTTGACAAAAAGGCTGGATTTGTAATTGAACCATGTTATAGGTATTCATTAGAAGGTAGAGTTGGGGCTAAAATTTCAACAACTAAGAAGTTTTTTAAACATGAAAGAATTGACTTTCTTGTTGGATGCATTGCTGAAATGACTGAAGAAGAAGAAAAGCAACTGCTACATCCTGGAAAAAATGATTTTTCTGTTATGTACAGTTGTAGAAAAAATTGTGCTCAGTTATGGCTTGGACCAGCTGCATACATTAATCATGATTGCAGACCAACATGTACTTTTGAAGCTACAGATCGAGGCAAAGCTTTTGTTCGTGTATTAAGAGATATAGAGGTTGGAGAAGAAATTACTTGTTATTATGGTGAAGACTTTTTTGGCAATGGGAATTGCTATTGTGAATGTGAAACTTGTGAAAGACGAGGCAAAGGTGCATTTTCTGTAAAGAATGCACACAATGATGAGGAATCTACAAGATATAGATTTAGAGAAACTGATAATAGAATAAATAGGACAAAAGCCAAATTAACACAAAAAGCAGAAAATGGGAAACCTCCTGAAAAGGCTCGAATATCAAACAGACAAGTTTCTAATATTGTTTCCCCTCTTAGTATGAAGGAAATGAAGCAAAAAGGATTGACAAAATATGATGCTGAATTGTTAATAGCTCAGGGGTGCATTGCAGATGTTGTTGATGGAGCTCGTGACAAAGAATCACAAGGGAGTAGAGAATCCTCAGCTTCTAGAAGAGGTGAACGTTTAAGACGAAGGGCAGATAGTGGCCGTGCTCCTAATGGTGTTTCTGCTACTGCCACTGCAACTGCATCACAGCCGCATGAACAACCTTCACGGTGTTGCAGTATAACTAGTTCACGAAGCAGTTGTGACTCTCATACTGGTATAGTTCTAAGAAGTCATAAACGTCTCATTGACTCTCAATCCCCTTGTACAAAAGTTAAAAATAGTTCAAAGAGTAGCTCAGAAGTTAAAATTGGAAGAAATCATAGTGTTCTTAAACCAGACACAGACTCATCTAGTGCAACGGATATAGATAAAATAGAAATTAAACAAGAACTAGACAATGAAATTTTTAAAGAGAATTATCAATCTGAAACTAGTAACATCAGTAAAACAGACACAGAACCAGAAAATAATAATGATAAAAAAGAATCTCTGTTAGAAAGAGCTGAATCTTGTACTTCTATGTTAACAATAAAGAAAGAATGCTATGATAGTTCAGATAACAAAGAACAGATCAAAGTTGAATGTGTGAATGACAATGAAACATGTATAAAAAGTGAAATATTTGACTATAGAGAAAATGTAAACCCAAGTGAGTCTACAGATACTATAATAAGTAAACACAAAATTGATATTCCTCATAGGCCTGAAGAGGTAAAGAAGGAACCAGAGTCGGGACTTGCAGATAATTCAAATAAAAGTAGTGAATGTCCCTGTACGCCACCTCAAAGAAAAACTTTAAAGTTAACTTTGAGAATGAAACGTAGCCCAGCAGAAGAAGTAATGAATTGTGGTAGCACAACAGACGAACCAGAGTATGAAGTCTTGCGTCTTGAGGGTGTAGACCCTGAAACAGCCCGCCGTTTTAAAAAGCGGCGACGGTCAAAAGAACGCCATCGTAAACATAGTCCAATCCGTCCTTTGCCCCCAATGAAAAGATTGCGGTTGATTGTCGGCAACGAAAGTCGAACTATAAATATTCCAAATGCTATATCGGCAGACTGACAGCCGCAACTACCTTATAGTTATTTTTTCCACCGCTATATTCAATTATTAGTTTAATTGATACTGACTAGGATTATTTCGTCTAGTATTTATTTTGTGATGTGAATTCATATTTGGATATTGTGTGATAGGCATCAGATTCATTAAAGTGATAATTCCAAGATATTTATTATAAAATATGTAAAATTGTGTTATATCATTAGCACTCATTTGTTTTTATCTAATTGACCTTTTAGTGAAATGTATTAATCAGAAATGAATTTATTTGTACGTTTTTTTGTTTGTTTTAATGTGTGGATAGAATTCCATTATTTGGAGTTTAATTGAACATTTCCTTTTAAATTTTGTTAATTTTGTCATTTTACTATTAGTAGTGATGATGTTATATTTCATTCTGTTTCTCTTTAAGTCTGTAGTTAGTACCACTGACATTACTGTGGTGTTATAAAATGCAGGAGACTACAGTAACAATATGAATAATGTATGTAGTAGTAATAGTGATAGGCCGGGATTACTAGTTTCACATGTATGAGTTACGCGATCCATGTATTTTACGCTTATAAATAAACTTATGGTAATATCTGGAACTGTCTAACAAGCAATTTATTGCTCTATATTTAATTAGATATTAAGGTATTGTAATAGAAATCACAGGATAGAAATATTGATAATTTGTAAATATGCTGTATTGTTATTGGTTATTGCTTCGTTTATGGGTTTAAATTTTTTTTGACTTGGACTTATATGTTCCTCTTGAAGGCTAATGTGACCTAGGCCAGGACTGATAGATTTTTGAGGAGACTTGCACTACAGGTATTACAATAATAACTTTATCCCACGTAGTTTTAGATATGAATTTTTTAATGAGTATTATGTTTTTCTAAACAAAGCAGTAATAACCACAAGTTAGAAAAATAATTGTGATTTATGTACGCCTTATTTACCAGCTTAGTTAAATAACACTTAACATTATTTCTTCTTGTTTAAACATAGTAGAAATTAGGTTTTGGTTATTAGCTTTAATATTTTTCATACACATTAAAATTTGCTAATGTATATATAAAGCATTGATATATCTATGAAATTTCTTATTTCATTTAAAATATGAAAACGCATCAAAGCGCAGGAACAATAAATTTCATTGATCACAACTACATGTGTATTTGTATGTGTACTTTTAAAAGGGAATACTTAAATCGTAAATATTTAAAATGCAGGCATATTGTTATAATAAATTCGTATGATTGTATAAATATAAGTTCGCATGTCTAGTATGTAGGTATTTTGATGGATCCCATGACTTCATGTTATGAATTATATGTAATTCCGGCTCGAATGTTACTTTTAGTGAAGTATTCGATCTCCATTTGTTGGTATGTAAATGACAAAATTAGGAAAAAAAAATTAATAATACATAATAAATAAAATTTTAAAAATATGGTTTTTCCATGTTATAGGTACTTATTAGCTTGGACACTGCCGCATTGTACAGCCATTGTATTGATTAGGAGTTAGGACACTACAAATGATTTTGATTGGTGTGGAATAATTGTTTAGATTTCTTACAATGTATATTCTTGTTCATGGTGTACACAAATACTAGTCCTGACTCAACCTTTGGTGATGAATATTCCTCATGTGTTAATATCAAAGTAAAATTAATACTAATGTATAAATAACACCTTTTGGTTTGTAGCATTTTAAAGGATCATAATTATAAAAAATAAACAATTATTCAATTGAATGGAACAGGACCTGTTACAATTTTTTTTTAAAACCCTGAGGTATGAGTAAGACTAAAGAAGTTTTTTTTAGGCTTTTTAGGAACAGCTATCTCATACTCGATGTACCAATTTTATTGCTACTGATAAGTGAATTTTACAGCAAAATTTTCCCAACAATTTCCTCTTTTTACCATGTATCTAATCTGAACTGTATCCAGGATGTTTCCAACTATAAATAAGCTGATCACCTACTGCCACAGCTTTTATCCATGTTGGTATTTGTCAAATCATTTCCTGATCTTACTGAAGCCATTGCTGAATAAAATTGTTTATTGTCTATTGAGACATCTCTATTCATTGTCCCTTGTTGACAAAACTTACACAAATTGGTAATGGAATTCAGGGATGGGACTACACAATTAGAGGAATAAAGAGACACAGACACACAAAAAAATGTTCTTATTTAATGCAAAATTAAAGGTAAGAAATCAAGTTGAATATTTACTGTTTTTATGGTATTTTAATTGTTACAGTTTACAATGAAATATATTGTTAGAATTAATAACAAAAAAATTTAGTACTCGCAGTTGGTTTATTAAAAAACTTAATGCAAAAGTTACACATTACGCCAAATTACACTGGAGACCACTATTAAGGTGAGAGATTGTTGCGTGGTGTGCAAGAATTAGTGGCCATACCTGTAAAAAGACAAAAACCCATTTAAAATTTATAATATAGACAATCAAAAAGCTTTTATATCATTAAAATCCAAAATTTCCTTGAACATGGTTATAAAAAAATTTAATCAATATTGTTTTTTTCCTTTTACTTACTTTTGGAACTCCCATTCTCTGTTGTCTAATGGACACACTTGTCGAGTTTTGAGCCAACGTGAAATACAATGGAAGTGGAATGCATGCTGAAAACAATATTCAATATTAGACTAAATATAAGCTTGTATTTAAGAACAATATGTTAACCAGTGATGATTCATTTGAAGAGAAAATTAACCATATTTAAAACACTATTTATCATAAATGTTGTCGATTCAGGTTAAAAGATATTAAAATAAATGTAATCCAACGGTTTTTGTTTTACTTAACTACTACCTTAATATACTTACATTGCAAACTCCCCAAGCAACTGTGCATTCTTCACTAGTAGCAGATGCTTGATTTGCTTGACATTCTATGCAAAGATCCATTATGTGGTTACGACAGATTGCGCAGTTATCCACCACAATGTCTGCAAGTAACTTAATAATTAAAAGAATTTCGTTAACAGTACATCTTATAGGTTATACAAAAAATCGTTTGTTTCAAACTTACCCCAAGCCCACAAAGCAACGGCGTTCCACTGTAAGTTAGAATTTTATAATTAAATCTGAGTTAAAATGTTTTTATAAAAACAAACAATGATAGTAACAAAGAAAATTATTGATCGCAAATGATGACTTTACCTTTTTTACTTCGAACCTCTTTTTATCTCCTTTGCTACTGCTTGAAGAAGCCATTTCGACTTCGTCTTCGTCAATATCCATTGCAGATGCCATGTTTTTTATAATTACCTTGTTTTATGGTCCTAAAATGTTAATAAATTGTTAGTAATTTCATAGATGTTATTTGACAATGACAGCTTTGAACTTTGATGTAAATTTGACAGCCAGTCGTATTCAAGTCCAATTCGGTGTTGCTGTTTTATAAAATAAATGCCCAACCAGTAATAAAAAAAACTATACAAGAAAATCCTTTCAGCCTTCTACAGGGTACGCGCGAGACGAAGGGCGTACGGGCGAAAATCCCGTTGGGCCGATTAAGCTGATCAGCCCAACGGGATTAGAAAAACATATATGAGGAAGGAAATTTATTTTATTATGCTACATGATTTTTCAGTTCAAATTCATTATCGTCGCGAATGCTTGTGTGACTTTTCGTTTTATACGAATTCTTCCATATTTCGTAGAAGCAAACTGTAGCTTGAAATCTGTAGCAAACTAAAAGTGGCACTGAGACATGCGTAATTAACGTCCATGCCCATACTCCAAAAAACTCCATCTGTAATAGATAAATAAAAAAGAAGGATTACTTAGTCATGTGTTAAGAAAATTGTTCTCAAGTTTCGAACGAATTGAGCTTACTTGTAGGGGATGGTATTCAGCTCTGGCGTTCTTTACACGATTGAGCAGCCACAGCGCAAAGTTGCCGACCAAGAGGAATGTCACCAGCTGCCGACCGGGCCTGCCGCCTGTGCCCGCGCATCGCCGTGACCACGCGTCTAGCACCAGCAAAGACTGGCAAGAACTTTGTATAACTGCACATAGCGGTGCTATTATTCTAAAAACATAGTGAAAATACGAATAGGAAAATGTTACTTATTGGAGTAATAACAAAATGTAATTTCCTCAGTGAGTTTGTTAAATGACATGCGGACATATATTTTAATTGATATATGATGAGTATGATACTCTTAGTAAATTTTGTACTCAAGTAAAAAAAAATAAAAGTAAACTTGCCTTGTCGCTCGTCGGCCCTCAGGATATCTTTGAATTAGGAAGCCGGCTCCTATGATTTGAAAGAGATAATAAAGGTAGACTCCACATTGTGTGACAAGGAGCAAAGCGTGTTCCAGAGGCATGGTGGTTGATATTTTACGCAATGTCAATAGACGCATTCTCTGTATACAGGCACCTGAACCAATCGTCATGATAACAAACAAAACTGTCTCCCATATATTGATCTGGAAATGGTAATTAAATATTTATTTAAATCATTTTGTTTTTCATAATTAAAAGAAAAGATCGGAAAGGATTATTCCGTTAAATTATGTTTCGATTAGTTCTGTGTTACCTGTAATAAAGCGAGTTCCACATGTTTGTCCTTTTGGAACAGTCCATTGAAGAGCATGAGGCTTACAATGGTGCCTGCAAGAACGGCTATGCCCATGAAAAGACCTTTGTGCGCGCTGCCGCAGTCCACTGAGAAATGATTGTTGGACTTAACTCTAGCACAGCATTGCTTCACATCTTTCGTGAAAACCGCATTCGAATTGACATCGTTTAGAGGTTTCTAAAATTAATTTATTATATTACATTCTGTTATAAAAATGATATAAGCAGAAGACACGTCAAATAGCTACGTCACAATTGTAATTAGATTTCAGTTTTAATTAAGAAGTGATGACATGCATGATTATGATGACTTTATATTTTTTACACAAATGAATAAATCAATTTCTTTTACTTAAATGTTTTTTTCGTGAAACGTGAAAGTATAATTGAATGAGTGTTGCATTCTCCTATCTCCGCTGCCGTGTTAAACTTAATTAGCATTGCTGAATGTGTCCACTCAGTTTCATCGCTGCGCCGGACAATGAAATCATATTTGTGCGATTTATATTCACTTTTGTAATACAACGGTGACATACAATTTAAAAAAAACAACATGACTTACGAGATACTATTAAAGGCTCAATGAAATACCGACAAAAAATCATCCTTACCGATCCTGGTACGGTGCAAATATCGTTCCAAATCACCACTATAATGATCGAACAAAGAAGGCTGTACTCAACACCGCAAGGCCTGAGGTACGGATTGGCGGATCTAATTAAGGGCGTTATTATATTGGATATATTACAACTCCAAGTAGCTGCGGCCATTGTTGTATTCTCGCTTATATTTGTACTGTTGTAATCTTCATATAAGTAGTTTTTATCTCTTGTTGCAAAGGGTGATTTCGTTGGTTCAGCAATGGCGGTGTATCTTATGAAAGGTGGGCTGTTGTAAGCTACAGCGATAATGTCATCCCTCGTCTCTTGTATGATTACGTTCAGCCATTCACAAACATTTGTAGCAATTAAATGCATCAAACCGAATCTATCTAGGACCACTCCTCGCATTGGATCCAATATCTGAAAAGTTGATAAAATTATTTATGTACCTATTCAAGTCAAAGGTTGCATTTGGTAAGTATATGCTTTTTTATTTTGAGTCGTCGGAAATTAGATCGGTTTCCAAGTATTAAGATTTGTTGCAAGAATAATATTTGAGTTACGTTTTACCTACTTAAGTGTACGCTACTTGCTAATTTTTATATTTTTATAAATACTGGGATAAGTTTGAAAATTTATATCTTACATCTGTGTAGGAAAATATAAAAACACTTTGTGCCACCATGAATAAAATTCGTAAAGTAGGTTTTAATGCGACCATAATTATCTGACAGTCTCCGGACAGGTCGAAATACTCGGCGATTTGTAGGCACGAGTAGATAATGGAGCCCACACTAAAACCTGCCACGCCGATATGCAAGTAAAAACTTCCGTAACGAGTTCGTTTCACGTTAACTACAAGAAAAAAAACGAATTATACAGATTAAATTATTGTATCTTAAAATACTAAATATGTTTAGTATATTTTGTTAAAGATGAAGAAAACCTTACCATCTTTACTTTTCTTCACTCTGCTCAAATGATAAAATGTGTAGGCCAAAAAGAGCATACTGACAATGTACAAATAGATGGTAAATATCTGGAAAAAATATTGCAATTCATATCCACAACCATCACCTCCTAGAGACATTTACATAGACTTATAACATTACTAGCTGTCGCCTGCGACTCTGTCCGGGCGGATTTAAAAAAAAACTTAATAGCTTATGTGTTCTTCCAGACTGTGTCAAATTTCATCGCCGTTCAGCCGTTCTGGAGACACCTTCGAACAAACATCCATCTATCCATTAGCAAGATTTTGGGAAAAGGCCTCTTATCTGCTATACAATAGAGGCCTAAAATTTAATACTCACATCTGAGGTAACGTTTGTAACGAGTTCATTCTGTATAGTGCTGGTGACCGGTAATGCCAGACCCAACACTATTAGTAACTTAGCGTAAAACGCTGACAAGACCACTGTCATTGATTCACTGAAACAAAATGATATATGGAAACAATTAGCACGTTCAGTGAACCTGCAGCTAACGATAATTATTCCAAAACTGTTTATTAATTAGATGAAATTCTTCATTAAATTTAG